TGCCATTTCTGCTAACTCTATAGATCATTGAAGCCATCTTGCTTCTATCTATGTTTCTAGCCAGAAACTTCTGAAAGCTGTGATCATATTCTTTTATGATTTTATCAGCACTACTGGGAGCCTATGAGATTATTTCTTTTTGAGAGTTTTGTAAATCATTTTCTAGTTTTGAAATCTTTTCTTTTAACTCAGAATTTTCTAATCTAAGACTCTCAGTTTCTTCAGAGTCAGAAGCAAGATCCTTATTTAGGTTCTTGAATTTGACTCTGAGTTGCTGATACCTTTCCAGAATTTCACTCAGACTTTCTCCTAGTTCAACTTTGGTAAAATTAACAGTGAAGTTAGGAAATACCCCTTCTGTGTCTGATTCTGAGTCTGACCCAGATGCTTCGATGTCTTCTGTCACATTTGCCATAAGAGCAATGTTGGCTCTTTCATTATCTGACTCTGAGTCTGCATCATAAGTATCTGAATCATCTCATGTTTCCATGAGACTTTTCTTCTTCTCCTTGAAGAACTTCTTTTTGGGATTCTCCTTCTGAAGCCTTGGACAATCACTTTTGTAGTGCCCTTGTTCATTGCACTCATAGCAGATGATATCTCTGTTGTTTGACTTTCTGTGACCAGAAGAAGCTTCAGACCTTCTGTGTCCAAAGGAGGTCTCATACTTTCTGTATCCGGAGGAGGATTAATTCTGATTCCCTGATCTTCTGGAGTTTCTGAATTTTCTTTACCTCTACTTCCACAGCTGATTGACCCTTCTGGAGAGAAGATACAATTCGTCTTCTTCTGATGAGGATCCATCAAAGGTTTCTTCCATAGTCTACAAAACCTTAGAATCAAGTTTTTTGTTAGATTTTAATGCTAAAGGCTTACCTTGCTTTTGAGGCTCGTCATCTTCTAGCTCTATCTCATGGCTTCTGAGGGAGCTAACACGTTCCTCTAGAGATATCTTGTTGAGATCTTTAGCCAGCTTAAGCGCAGTGACCATTAGCCTCCATTGCTTTGGTAAACTTCTGATGATCTTCTTTACGTGATCGGCAGTAGAATACCCTTTGTCAAGAACTCTCAGCCCAACGACTAGAATCTGGAACCTTGAGAACATTGCTTCTATGGATTCACTTTCTTCCATCTTGAAGGCTTCGTATTTCTGAATAAGCGCAAGGGCCTTAGTTTCTTTAACTTGTATGTTGTCTTCATGCGTCATTCTCAGAGATTCAAACACGTTTTTGGCTGTCTCTCTGTTTGAGATCTTCTCATACTTTGAGTATGAGATGGCACCGAGAAGAATTGTTCTGACCTTATGATGGTTTCTGAAGTCACGCTTTTGTTGGTCAGACATTCTTTTTCTATCTATCTTCTGACCACTTTCATCCACTGGGTGCATGTATCCATCAATTACCATATCCCACAAGTCAACATCATGAGCCAGAAATAAGCTCTCAATTCTATCTTTCCAGTAGTCAAAATTTTCTTCATCAAAGACTGGAGGTTTGCCGCCGATTATGTCCTTATCATCATGATAGTCATTGCTGATGTTTTGGCTTGGTCCCACCATTGTGTTTTTCTAAAGCTTGGATCTTGTACTGACACGGTTAAATGTATGAACTCAGAACCAGACGCTCTGATGCCAATTGAAGAAGTGAAAAACAGAAGAAGGGGGGGTTGAATTGAAACTTAAAAATCAAGAGCAATAGACATGAGATTTTTATCCTGGTTCGCTTGATCTCAAACTACTCCAGTCCACCCGCCAAAGTGATTTCGCCTCTCTCCAACGATGACTTAATTCACTAATCAAACTGATTACAATTCTATTTTGACAATTGTCAAAGTCTTCTTGAGTACAATCACAAACCGATTTATCTCAAGGAAAATAACTTCATCAAAAGAAAAGGTTTACCATGTACTGTTTGTTTTTCGTTACAAAAACGGTATCACTACTGTGATGTATTACATAAATTGAGTATAGTATGAATATGACTTTTTGCAGCTTTTTGAGATTGTATTGAGCAGTTGTGTGAAATCGTAAAATATTTACCCTTTAAACTTGTTTATATAGGCGTGACAAATATGTCCAAAAGGAAACATGATAATGAACACTTAATGTACTTTCCATACTGAGAAGATCCTTGTCTGAGTGAAGCCGTTGCACATGATACTGCCTTAATGGAAAAGTAACGCTTCAGAACTTAGGAATCTTGCATGCTGCTTTACTTCAGAACTTGGGAAGTCAAAAACATAAGGTTCTGTTTGCGTGTTGGACTTTCGTTCAGAATCAGGATATTTTTCTCTTTAGCACAGATTCTGATCATTATGTTTTTGAATATTCTGATTACTCAGCTTGAGTGCTTCTGTGGCTTAACTTCTAATGTCGTTTTAGTCAGAACTTCTGTACAACATAAAACACAAATTTAGAATACATATTTGTTCTTTGTGTTTGTTATCATCAAAACTCTTATGAGGGTTATAGAATCAAACTATGTTCTAACATTTAGTTCTGATATTACTAATGAAATCGAGCTTTCATTTGAGAATTGAAGTGCTTAAACATTTTGTTCCAAACTTCATAAGTGTGTTTGCATGAGAGAACTTGAGGTAGAACTGCTTTAGAGATTGTAGACAAGAGGAAAGTGAATCAGATTTGATCTTGAACTAGATTCATAATCTTCAAATACAACATTAATCACCCTATCATTGTCAATTTTGAACAATTGAGGAATCTGAGAATTTACCACCACTTTGTGGACTTTGTGAGAGATGATAAGTCCTTCTACTTGTTGATTCCAAAGTAGAAAGTTATTTTCTCGAAGTTTGATTGTTAATTTTAGTGCAAATGTATTTGTTGAAATTGGAAATGCAAGTTGCAATGAGGTAGCTTGGGATGAACAAATCAGATGTTGTAAGTCGTGAAGACAACTTTCAAAATTCGCTATTAAAGCTTATATGAAATTTGGTGCAGAACTTAATTGACAAAGAAGATGAAATAAAGAAATGAGTTTCTATAAAACTTCAATCTTCACCAAAGAAAAAAACAAAGAGGATGAAGATGACGGTGAAGCAGAAAAAACCGCTTCTACCATATTGAATGCACTAAAATGCATGAGAGAAAGCTAAAACAAAATCTTTTTTTGCATTGATAGAATGAGTTTATTACATTATTTAAGAGATGATATATATATATATATATATATATATATATATATATATATATATATATATATATATATATATATATATATATATATATATATATATATATATATATATATATATATATATATATATATATATATATATATATATATATATATATATATATATATATATATATATATATATATATATATATATATATATATATATATATATATATATATATATATATATATATATATATATATATATATATATATATATATATATATATATATATATATATATATATATATATATATATATATATATATATATATATATATATATATATATATATATATATATAGCATGAAAGTGAAGTTAATTACACTCTCAAATTTCTCTAATTAATTGTTAAACCACCTAAATAACTCTTGTTAATTGGGGATAACAATCAATATACCCGTCTCATTTAAGTCCGTCTCGAAAATTCACGAAAAATATAGTGAAATGGAATGAGTTTTGTTGAAGGTTCGAGTCTAAAACTTTATCCGTCCCATAAAAAAATGAGTGCAAGGAGAGCGGGTCCGCAGACATTACATTTTTTTAAGCTTGAAAACTGTGAATTTTCATGTTAATACTTACACTCGCAAAAGTCCACAAAAAAATAATGCGGATGTAACAGACATATTAAATGATGCGGGTCTAAAACTTGAGTCTGTCTCACAAAAAATATGAATAAAATAGACATATCAATAGACCAGACTCGTTTTACCGTTTTATTTCTAAATAATAATCCTAACAATAATTAATTTTTTCTTTCAAAATCATCAATTCCAAATAAGTTGAAATCGCCTATTTTCACAAGAACAAGAAGAAAACAAAAAACCATACATACCAAAATCTCAAATTGTAAATTCGCTAATAAGATTAGAGCCATATGACAATAAAATATTGAAAATGATGACATGACAACTATACAAACCGGTCAATAAAGTCATTTCATAGTCAATAATGCATTAACGCCCACCACCTCATGCCACCTTCAACCATAGATATACTTCATCGACGGCGCAAATAAACTAAACTTCTTCAATAAACGAATAAATGTGACACCTTACAATTACTTAACATGTCATTTTAATTAAATTTTAAAACTTAATTACACAAATTTTTAATTAAAAAACACTGCTCCCAAAACAATTAACATGTGTCACAAAATTATTGGTCATAAAAAACGCGCGGCACAAAACGTTAATTAAGACTTGTCTGTTTCTTCAACCATCATGACACATTTATTCTAGATGAGTTTGAATCTTCAATGTTTTCCTTTTAATAAAGTTTCTAATAATCAAAGATATTTTATTTTCCACTCATCAAATATCAATTTATTTTATTTATTTTTTATTTATCTCATTTTCCTTTTTCTTCTTCTGAGAAGTCGCATTTAGCAACCTTTTTGAACATGTTCCAAACCAATTCGTGTTTCATTTGTAGATAGTTTGAAACTGTTCAGATACCATTTCTTGATTTTTCAGTTTTGTCCAGAATATAACTCTTACTTGGATTCAACGCTTTCTTCTTGTTTTCTCAGTTTATTTACAGGTACTTTTCTGTTCACTTTTTGATTTTTTTATTATTTATTTTCTTATCAGCATGTTTGATTATTAGGGTTTTGTCAGAATTTTTTTTGTTGCAAATTTGTGATTACTAGGGTTTTGTTTCATGAGATGAATCTGTGTAGATATATATGATATGAAATTTGATTTGGATTTGAATAATTAGCACAGTTTTTTTATCCTTGCAGTATTTGTTGATTTGTAAGGATTTGATTTTGATTGAGGAAGATCTGAGTTGATATCATAATGGTTTCTGTTGATAATGGTAAAGAAGAAATTGAGGAGTGTAATAATAATAATAATAATAATGGGAGTATGAGTAAAGTAGAAGAGTTTACTTCCATAGATATTTCGAGTTCTCGAAGAACATTGGTGACCGGTGAAAATCCCGAGAGAAAGTTCCCGAGTAAGATGAGTGTTATTCCTAATAGGATGAACTTCTTGAAATTTGGTTCGGCGTCTGCGAAATTCAAGCGGCTTACTACTTTGATGGACCAGGCGTCGCAGTCTGTGCCTTCTCCGAGTTCGCATAGCTTGAGAGAACGATTCAGTGGTATATTTTCTAAGAAACTTGATTGGAATTCGATTAAGAAGATGTCGATGGAATGGATTAGGAATCCGATGAACATGGCGCTTTTTGCGTGGATTTTATGTGTTGCTATTTCTGGTGCGATTTTGTTCCTTGTCATGACTGGTATGTTGAATGCTGTAATTCCGAAGAAGTCTGCGAGGAATGCGTGGTTTGAGGTAAACAATCAAATACTCAATGCGTTGTTTACGTTAATGTGTTTGTACCAGCATCCGAAGAGATTCTACCACCTTGTACTTCTGTGCAGATGGAATCCGAAAGATATTGCTAAACTTAGAAAGGAGTATTGCAAGAATGGAACTTATAAGCCTCATGAATGGATGCACATAATGGTAGTGGTGATTCTCGGTCATGTGAACTGTTTCGCGCAATATGCACTTTGCGGTCTAAACTTGGGGTATAAAAGATCTGAGCGTCCAGCCATCGGTGTAGGAATATGTATATCTTTTGCGATCGGTGCACCTGCAATTGCTGGTCTATATACCATTCTTAGTCCGCTAGGTAAAGATTATGAATCTGGATCGGACGAAGAATCACAGGTTCAAATTACTGCTGATAAAAAACAAGAGCAAATGAGAGTGACATCATTAGAGAGGAAATATTCATTTGCACCGAAAGATAAACGAAGGACTGTTGAAAATAGACCAAAGTGGAGTGGAGGGATACTTGACATTTGGGACGATATCTCTCAAGCGTATCTATCACTTTTCTGTACTTTTTGCGTCTTTGGTTGGAATATGGAGAGACTCGGCTTCGGAAACATGTATGTTCACATTGCTACTTTTATGCTGTTCTGTATGGCACCCTTTTGGATTTTCATCTTGGCTGCTGTTAATATTGAGGACGATACCGTTAGGCAAGCACTAGTAGGTGCTGGGATCGTTCTATGTTTTTTCGGTTTACTCTATGGTGGTTTTTGGAGGATTCAAATGAGAAAGAGATACAATTTGCCTACTTATGACTTCTGTTTCGGCAAGCCAGCGATATCTGATTGTGCACTTTGGCTATGCTGTTGCTGGTGCACTCTTGCTCAAGAAGTGCGGACAGGGGATGCGTATCATATTGTAGACGACAAATTCTTCAGCAAAGAAATTAGCACTGTTGACCAACCGCCGATTTCACCTTTGCGCCGTGAGGGTGTGGCTTCAACCAAATCAGGTCCGAGTTCCCCTCTCGGTGTCAATTCGTCTCCTTCTACATACAAACCGTCGAGTCCTCTAAGTTCTAGCAGTTTCTTTACCGACCATCATAGTCCAGATGGTTCACTATCTACTCTAAAAGAAGAACCTTCTGAAAAAGATAAAGATGTAACAATGACTCCACCAACTCCGCCATTGATACAAAGAGAATCTGCTTAGTTCCTGAAGAAAAAGACTCAGAATCCTTTCAACCTGATCGTAGTTTTTATATCGACCGACGAACGTGTATTTGAGGAGGCACAATTTAGCTGTTGATTATCAGCAGCAGCATGTAATTGATTTAGATGATGATGTCTGTGACAAAAACAAAGTACTTTCATTCTTGTTTGAGGCTTTCTTTACATCCATTGATATGATTGTGGAGAGCATTGTACAGTTCATTCATTCTTAACTGTGTTCCTTTTTGTGAAAGTAAAATTTATGAAACCAGGTTTTGTTTCCAAGAATGATACATGCATGAATTTCTTTTTTCTGATACATAATATATGACGAGTTATTATTACATAATTTACCGCTGGAATTGTATATCCAAAATAATTCATGCACATATAGCATGCATAACAATTGCAAACTTACTTTTTGTGAGCTCTGATATGGGCCAATGTACATGAGTTTCAAGCATATGACTGGTTTGGCAGCGGTATTGTGTAGACACCACGCGGCAATAGAGGTGCCAAGTTGTAGCGCACTGAAACTCTAACATGAAACCAACAAATACAAAATATGCTGACAACAAAATAGTCTTAGGGTAAGAGGTTAAGAGTCTCAAATTTTGGCAACAAAATAGTTTTAGGGATAAGGGGTTATAGCTTCAATTCTTTCACTGACATTTATAACTCTTACAATAACTATAAAAATATTCTAACACCTCGAGTTTTCAAGAGATTGGAGTTTCGTGATATGTATTTGACATTCACTTGTTCGGATATGTATTTAATATTCTATTATTTTTATTTAACATTCACTTTATTCAACTATTCTATGAATTATAATTAATATAAGTATTTTAATAAATAATATTACTTTTATCATTAAGATCAACATATCTAATTATTTTCTTAAAAATTGCACATTGTTTAAATATGACATTTTTATGAGATGGATTATTTAAATATGACATTTTTATGAAACGGAGGAGGGAGTACTTGGTACTAGATATTTGTATAGATACATAATTATAAAAAAAAAAGGCTTGAATGCACTTTTAGAGGACGAAATTATTCAACGTGATGTTAAAAAAATAAGATGAAACTGAATTGTTCAATTGACAACAAAATATATATTTTGTAAATAGTGAAGAAACTATATTTTTTTAAGATAAAAAGGAAATACACTTGTGTAAAATATCTTTACACGGTGTAAAATATCTTTACACGGTCAACAAATAAGATCAATAAGAGATATATATTACAATAAATTATATTTTTATTTTTAAAATACTAAAATGATATGGCAATTATAAAAATTTTAATTGATTGTATGTGTAAAATCATTTTAACTATCTTTAAATTCATTTTTTAAATGCCAATCTTTTTTTGGATTTGCATATCAATCATGTATTCTAATCATGTCTCAACACACCTAAAATAAGAAATACAATTAATCTTGTATCCGCAAGAGAAATTATGTATAACTTTACAATATTTTAGAAATAATTTTTTTTTACAGAGTGAGTTATAATTCTTGAAATATTAAATTAGATTAGATTAGAATAGATTTAATATTTAATATAATTCAAGTTGTGTTAACCCAAGTCCAATTAGGGTTGTATATAAATAGTTATAGTGTATATCATTATTTTGTACACTTGAATAATACAAATCTTTATTTCCTTTATTATTCTCTTTCTCTCCTCACTAAAAGTGTCTCACGCACTAACAAATTTATATCCAAAGCTTCCGGTTATTGTTCTTGATCAAGTTTTTAAGAATTTTACGTCAGAGATTGTTTTTCTAGGGCAAGTAAATTAACCGCTGCGAAGATGGCTAGTGATAAGGGCATTCCGAATTCTCTTCCAATGCTTGACGGCAAAAATTGGATCCGATGAAAAAAAATATATGCAATCCTTATTTGGCTTCCATGAAAGCCTAGAAGTGGTTATCGACGACGTTTCTGCGTTGGCTGCAAATGTAATCGACAAACAGAAAAAAGCCCACAACGAAGTCAAGAAGAAAGATTGCAAGGCTGCTTATTCCATTCAAACGGCTGTCGATGCTGCTAACTTCGACATAATCTCTCATGCTGAAACAGCGAATGAGGCATGGGATATTCTGGTAAAGTATTTCGAATGAGGTGAGAAAGTCAAGATTGTCAAATTATAAATCTTGCGTCGATAATATGAGTTGTTGTCGATGGGAGAAAATGAAAAAGACAAAATATGTGTCGAAGGTTTAGAAACTCGTCCATCTCATGAAGGGTTGTGGTGAAACCATTACTGATAAGATGATAATTGAGAAGGTAATGAAAATGTTGACCTCTCACTTTGATCATGTTATCGTATCTATTCAAGAATCCAACAATCTTGAAACCACTAAAGTGGAAGATTTGGTTGGTTCGTTGAAGGCGCATGAGATGAAGATTGTCGAAAGGAAAGGAGTTCAGGACTCAATACAGGCACTGCAAGCTCAATCATGGAAAAAATATGGTGGTTCCAACAAATTCAAAGGCAAGTTCGACAAGACTCGTGGCAAGAAGTCTTGGTCGAATCTCCATAAGAATAAGGTCGAAGATAGATCTTCTGAATCCTTGAAAAGGGGAGGAGGAAACTATCAAAAGGAAAAAGAAGATAAGAAACGTATGCAATTTTATAACTGTGAAAAGTGGGGACACTTGACCAAGAATTATTGGTACAAAAAAGATAAGGGATCGAAAGGCAAGGACGAAGGAGCGAACCTTGCACACCAAGATTCAGATGATTCTGAAGGTGGTATGATGGTTATGGCTGTAGTTGCAGATAATCATGTTGAATCTAATATCTGGTTTCTCGACTCAGGCTGCTCGAACCACATGACTGGTCGAAAGGAGTGGTTGACAGATTTTGACGAGTCGAAGAAGAGCAAGGTAAAACATGCTGATAATAGTTTGTTGCAAGCAGAAGATGCTGGCAACATAGTCTTTAAATGAGTAATGGAGGGAAAGCTATGATCAAAGATGTGCTATATGTACCTGGAATGAAATGCAACTTGCTAAGTGTTGGACAACTAGTCGAAAGAGGTTTCTCAGTTGTCATGAAAGATGGATTTTTGAAATTGTTCGACACAAAGAACAATTTGGTCTTAAAATCTCCATCGTCGAAGAATAGGACATTTAAGACCATGATCAGTTCGACAGAAGTTCAATGCTTGAAAACTGTTGTCGAACACAAGGATAGTTGGTTTTGACATTTGAGGTTTAGACATTTAAATTTTTGATCACTTAATCAATTGATTACTCAAGATATGGTTACTGGTATTCCAAGCCTTGAGATGCCTGGAAATTTTTGTGAAGGTTGTTTAGTGGGAAAGCAATCCAGAAATTCTTTCATTTCGACTATGTCAATGAGATTATCCTGCATTCTTGAAGTGGTACATTCATATGTATGTGGTCCATTCGGAGAATATACAATTGGTGGAAACATATATTTTGTTTCATTTGTCGATGAGTTTAGTCGAAAGCTGTGGATCTATGTGATCAAACGAAAGGACAAAGTATTCGAAATCTTTAAGAGATTCAAGATACTTGTCGAAAACCAGAGTGAGAAGAAGATCAAAGTTATACGAACAAATGAAGGTGGCGAATACACATCCAAGATGTTTGAAGATTTCTGTGCAAAACATGGTGTTTATCATGAGGTAACTGCTCCTTACACACCTCAACATAATGGAATTGCTGAAAGAAGAAATATAACCATATTAGATATGACAAAATGCATGCTGAAGCAAAAGAATTTTCCAAAATCTTTATGGGGAGAAGCTATTTTGATTGCAGTTTATATTTTGAATAGGTGTCCTACTAAGATATTGAAGAACAGGGTTCCTGAATAAGTGTGGAGTGGCAAGCGACCACCAGTAAGTCACTTGAAGGTGTTCGACTCTATGTGTTACAAGCATGTTCCTGATGTAAGAAGAAGGAAGCTTGATGATAAGAGTGAATCTATGATTCTGGTAAGATATCATAAAACTGGTGCATACAGACTATTCAATCCAGTTAATGAGAAGATTGTGTTGAGTTGAGATATTGTGATTAATGAAAATTCTGCTTGGGATTGGAATTCTAGCAATTCAATTAACAAATCATTAATGAACTTTGATTTCGACGAAGAAACTAATGAAGTAGAGGTCGAAGGAATTGTCGAGAATCCAGTCGAAGTCGAAGAAGAAGCGGTTGCTGACACTCCCGTCGAAGTCGAAGAGGTTGTGGCTGAAACAAGCCAAAGACCTCAAAGAAATAGAGTTCTTCCAACAAGACTTCATGATTATGAAGTGGTGGGTGATGATGAAATCACATCAGATGGAGAATTAGTTCATTTTGCTTTACTTGCAGGTGCTGAACCAATCAACTATAGCGAAGCTTTGAAGATTAACAAGTGGAAGTTAGCTATGATCGAAGAGTTACAGGAAATCGAAAGAAATAACACATGGGAGTTATTCGAATTGCCAGCACATACAAAAGCTATCAAAGTAAAATGGGTGTTCAAGTTGAAACACAATACAAATGAGTCAATAGCAAGACATAAAGAAAGATTAGTAGCTCGAGGTTTTCTTCAAAGAGAAGGACTTGACTACTCTGAAGTATTTGCTCCAGTACCAAGATTAGGGACTGTTCGACTAGTAGTATCATTGGCATGCAACCAAGGCTGGTCAACATTCCATCTAGATGTGAAATCAGAATTTCTAAATGATCTTTTAGACGAAGAAGTTTATGTCACACAACCTCCTCCTGGGTTTGTGATTCAGAAGGAAGCGAGTAAAGTATATAGATTGCACAAAGCGCTTTATGGCCTCAAGCAGGCACCTAAGGCATGAACAAGAAGATCGACTCATACTTAGTCGAATTAGGATTTGTCAAATGAAAATCAGAGTATGGTGTCTATGTTCAGGTTGTAGCATAAGATATAACAATCATCTGCTTGTATGTTGATGACTTGCTAGTAACTGGAAATAGTTTGGAGAACCTGCCGA